CTTTCTCTGATTATCGGATGAGTTTTGGCAGAGTTATAAGCGGTTCAATTTTAAATACAGCTGAAATGCAAAAGCTGTTGAAAAAACAATGAATTTGCGAAAAACTAACAGAAAACAAAAACGATAAAAAAGATGAACAAATAGATGAAAATAGAAATTGACTTAGATGATTTTCTAAAGTTACTCTGAATTCACATTCAAGGTTTCAACAAGGTTTTGTGTCAGGAAAGCTCACGATGCGATTATATCAGTACCGAAATTGAATCGCTTATAACACTACCAGAACTCATCCGATTCTTCGTTGGGTAGAAAATAAAGAAAGTCATGAGACGTCTTGTAACAAGGAAAAAAATTGAGTTTTATGATATAGATTTGAAATAAAATTTGTTTCAAGAAACTAATATAGCAAAATCTCTAGACAAATTCCTGCTCACTTCCTTCTATTTTTACTGGGCTTCTATAAGATTCTAACATTTGCAACTTCCTAATAGGGTTTAAGATATTAGAATCCTACTGGGATTTCACTTACATTTCTTTATGATCGTAACGGAGTCTCATCTAATTGTACGACTTTTGGGTATCTCTAATTAGGATTCTAAAACCCTTAAACAAAATTCTTGTAAGATTCTGATAGAATAGACTATGTGTAGTATACTATCAGAATATTCAAGCGTCTCTTACTAGAGATGTAGCGCATGAAAAGCTATATTTCATTGTGTTGTTCTAGACTCAGAAGTTATGTGGAATACGATCAAATGGTTTTTTGAAATTAATAGCAAGATCGATAAATTCTTCCTCTCAATCAATCGTCCAATCGCCTGTAGAAAGTTTTTCCCAAAATTTAAACAGACATTGAGAGATGACGTTCATATTATTTAAAAATTGTTTTAATCCAGCATAGGTAAGTATTTCAATTTATTTATTAATTATTTCATCGGTGGCTGACATTTGGCAATAGTGACACTGGGCAATTATTTTCACATAACGATCGAGACTCCTTTAATCCACGGGATATGCTAAAGCTAATTGCTATTTTTTCAGACACATACAACACTTCAATGATAATGAAAACAAATTATGTAGTTTAAATCCAACGACATCAGTACATAATTAGAGAAACTGAACATTTATACTGTCAATGGCTATTGAATTTTTGTTTTTCGAAAGTACAGACCATTTTAATAACATCTACTGAAAAATGAATAGCTGATAAATCTTGATTAGATCTAGTAGAAGCATATTCTAATTAATTTTGATGCGTAGTAAGAAATACGTTGAAAATTAGTTAGAAATATATCAGCTTTCGAAAGAGTATCTGCAGCTGTTGTGTTATCATGCCAATTGACTGCAGGATGCTTTTTTCGAAAATGATTGATGTTAGTTTAAAACTATTATAGATTTAGAAATGTAGATCGAATTGTTTGAAACTATGGTTATTTATTTTTCTAAATAGCTAATATTACTCTGTTATGAATACTCTTTTCATTCGTGAACTGAACTAACTCTACGCTTGAGTTTATTTCGAATTAATTGGTAGCATCAAACAGAGGCAACATATTTGTGGTTAATCCTAATATAGTACCAATATATTCCAATTTCAGATCAAATGTCTTATTTTAAATAACTTTTTTCGAATGATTTATCAATTATTACGTATATGAATAAACCAGACGTACCATATTTCTAATGTAAATATCAACTGTTGACAAAATGTAATATATGCGATAGAAAAGAACCTTCTAAATCAATCACAAATGTCTCTTACTCATCAAAAACAATTTTAACAGAGATAACAAAAGTAATAGAAAGCAATTACAATCAATAAACAAAGAATGTTCTTAGTTATAATCATTCCATTCTTTTTACTCAATTATACTGTGCAATCGAAAGTAGTCATTAAAGAAAAACGACCAATAATAATTGCTCATCGTGGAGCACCCGCACACCTACCAGAGTTAACAATTCCTTCAGAAGCGTTAAGTTATGGCTTCGATGCTGACATTATTGAAATTGATATTTGTCTAAGTAAAGATGATCAACTGATTGTCATTCATGGTAAGAAAACATAATTAATTGTTGGGATTTATCATTATTATTATATCTCTCTTACCTGTTTCTTTTCTTTCGAGTTAGATGTATGTCTAACACCACCTACGATTTTGATTTGATATTAAATTTTTAGTTTAAATTCATTTATTTAGATCTTTATTTGGATTCTGTAACGAACGTAAGAAATTTATTTCCATCAAATCGTAATCGATCGAATGGACTTCATTATGTAATTGATTTTACTCTAAGTGAATTACGTACATTGAGTATTCATGAACGATTTAATTATGATACAGGAAAACAAATATATCCGAAAAGATTTCCTTCCGCTGTATGGCCATCATCGTTTAAGCTATCAACATTGAACGAAACGCTAGAACTTTTACTTGGTTTAAATTATGCAACAAATAAAGTTAAAGACTTGTTAATTGAAATAAAAAAGCCGGAATTTCATGAAGAAAATGGTAAATTGATATCAAAAATTCTTCTTGAATTATTAAATTCTTACAACATAACGAAACAAACTGATCCAGTAATCATTCAAACATTTCACATTCCCGAGTTATATCGTATAAGAAATGATTATCAATCGAATCTACGTTTATTTGCATTATTTACATGGAATTTTATTAATGAATCGTCAACAGACTATGATATTTATCGATCGGAAGCTGGAATTAAAAATTTATCAACAATTGTTCAAGCTATCACACCAATTTATGAATTCTTAGTTGAATTTAACGAAAATGGTTTATTTGAAAGTAAAACAAATTTAACTGATTTAGCACATAAATATAATCTAGCCGTATATCCGTTTACATTTCGAGAGGATAATTTAGGAAAATACAAGGGTACATTTATAGAATTTGTTAATTATTTTTGGAATATAATTCAAATTGATGGTTTTATCACTGATCATTCTAATTTATTGATAGAACATGTTCGAAAACTCTCAACCAATTCCGGTATAAATAATTCTCTAACAATATACTTTCTGCTAATTAGTGTTATCTATAGCTTAATGAAATTAATGTAAAAAATTAATTATTAATTGTTCTCTAAGACTCATGTGAACTCTGAAACTGTTACAGATAAAAAAGAAAGTTAAGGAACAACGAATTACCATTTGTTATCCACACAAAACTTTTTTGTACAACATCAGCATCAACTGTAATCCATACCTTTTTTTTCGCACTATATTTGTATGACGATCATTGATCTATTGACGTTGTTATGCACTTGTTTATATCATATTTCAAATCTTCTTTTTTTGCACCCTTAGTATCTGAAGTGATTTTTTGATGATTAAATTTCGTGAAGAAATATGAAAGAAAATAAAAAATTAAGTGATATAATACCAGATGATTTTTATTTTTTATACTGATGAACGACCTTCTGTCTGAATAAGTAAACGTCTATAATATGCCAATTGCCAGTGGATTTTCACAAGATCCTAACCCATCAACCGCTCAATATGGTGTATGTTATATTAATACGTATTGACATCTGGTGGTGATAAAACATATTTTTTAATTTTAAGCTACGTAAGCCGAGAATTGTTGAAGAAACAGTTTATTTAAAACCGACAACTGTCGAACGACCAGTGCAAGTATGAACGAGTAACACATCTGAAAATGAGTTTAGTTTATCTAATAAGTCTAACGTCTCATTCTATAGACGGTAAGCCGCCCTATTGTAAAAGAAACTATCTATTTACCAGAACGACAACAACCAACAACAACAACAACAACATCGGTAGGTCTTCTTTGCTGCATCAAACTTTAGTGCAGTATATTGTACGACTTATATGAGAACAAAAAAATTATAGGCATTGCCAGAATCAACAACTAATCTACCAACTCGGACTAAGAAATCTTACAATTGGTTTCGAGCTATATGTTTGAATGCAGATTGTCCTTGCTGGGCATGGATTTGTATTATATTTGGATTGATTGTTCTTCTTACTCTCGTCGGTTTGTTGCTTTACTTCATACTTGGTAAGTCAAAAACAAAGATTTACACTTTATAGTAGAATGTAGAGGTGGTAACAAAGTTTAAATGTATTTAATTTCTTCCTTGTTGTTTATCTCACAAGTTCGAAAACAAAATTATAGACTAAATTTATTTTAGATCGGCGAGCATAAAAACAAAGCACAATATAAGGAAGATTATTAGTTCAACTGGCAGTACATCATTTAACAAACAGATGATGCATTCAGATACACTTAGTATGTTTTCTAATTATTTGTTGTTTAACATCCTTAACGATCTGTTGACATGATGTTAAAATATTTTGAAAATTATTTTTTCCGCTTCTTCATATGTACATAATACAGATCGTTCAAGTACATCTAAATTTTCTAACATTTGTTAGTTATTTTATACAAATGAACTAAGATAAAAAAAGCTTTTCAGCGTTGTTCCTTTGGAGCAAAGCTTTTGAAAACTTCACTAAATTTTGTCCACAAGTACGCCTATTGCTCATTGGACAGAAACAAAAATCAACAACAAAACAGTTCAGGATGCTAAAAGACACTTTTTTTTCGGTAGTTGTAAACATGCAAAAAAGCGGAAAATTTCATCATCAAAAATGTACTCAAAATGTCTACAACTACTGAATATGTATTTACAACCACCGAAAACTGAGTTTATAATTACTGAAATAAAAATCGCTTAAAACGCAGAAATCGTCTATCTATAAAAATAAACTTCAAATTTCCATTTTCTTCGGAAAGCAGGCATGTCCCCTGAAAGTTTCAGAAAAATCCATCAGGTATAGATCGTTCTTAGAACTATTGTATGTTAATATCAATGACATATAGAATGTTTTTTCATCACTATGCACAATGTGTGATATAAATCACATCACATATACTGTAAAAAATGTTGATTTTTCCAAAAACAAACTGTTAGTAAAATACAGATTAATTCATTACTATTTTGGATAGTAATAAGATATCTTGTAGAAGGCATTGTGTATATCTCGAGTGTAAAACTATCGTCGCACATTGAAAACTGAAGTTGGGTTGTAATAGTTGTGTATCAACTATTTACAAACAGAAATGGTTGCAAATTAAATTATTTCGCTTATTTGCTTTTTTTTTTATCACACTATGTCTTATACGAAACCTAACGACACATTCGTTATCATCGGACAAAACTGCATCGAATGACATATATGACAAATCTCTGTAGAATATTAAAAAATTCTTCGAACATTTTCGTTCGTGGCAGTCATTCTTTTCTTCAATAAAACTGTATTCGGGCATATTCATGTTAACAGTCCTACGAGACAATATCACCTTGATTCAGTATGTTCTTCGAACAAAATTGCCATGGGCAAAAAATTCCCCTTAATTTTCAATGGTCGACAATAATTTTGCAACCAAGGTATGCGGAATGTTTTCATGTTTATTCCACGTAACTCTCCCGATGGAAGTGAGTGCGTTACCATTTTTGCTGTTATTGTTTATGTTATAATATTTGAAAGGAACATTATAAAGATTTCAGAAGCATCTTGTTTTATAACTGAAAGTGTGCTCTCTACAATTCGCTCAGAGATCAATTTAAATCATTCATCCTTCTTTGCGCTACAATCTAAATATCAGCATCCCTGAAGAAAAGGAATTTTAATTTCGAGTTTATTATTATGTGAAGAAAGTTGAGTGATTGAAATTAATCCCAGAGCGAATTGTAAAGAGCACACTTTCAGTGGCAAAACAAGATGCTTCTCAAATCTTCACAATGTTCCCTTCAAATATTATAACACAAATAATAACAGTAACGCACTCACGTTCCGTTGGCAGAGTTACGTGGGATGGCTCTACAGATATCTTATTGCAAATGGAGATACTAATAGAATAATTTGTGTTATACAAAGACCCGATATTTTGAAAAATAAGCATTTGTCACAGCATATGTGATGTAGAGTTTCACACTGATAGTGTCTAGAAATTCTTTATAATGTGTCTGATTGAGAACTAAATTCTAGATAAAGTGAGACTAGACTCTTTGAAGTGTACGGCCACATTTTATAACGCTTCCACGCATGTTCTGGTTGATTATAAAGAAAGAGTACAAAAAAACTGCAGGTCTTAAAGTTAAATAATGCAGAAAAGATGATGTCCAAAAGATAGGAATTCAAAAATCCTGTAAAATGCAAAAAGGAACTTCTCATAATCAGCTGTTTCTGCGCCTAGATCTGTTTAAAAAATATTCTGTCAATAATGGGAATTTAACGAAAAAATCAAAATCATTAGAATATTTTGAAGGCCACATTGGCATTCAAGTGTCATTAAAAAATCGAACAGAACATTTGTTTAGATAATTAAAGTCTGTACTTTTTACTCACAAAACGAAAGTTAAAATAAAACTTGACGTTGACAAAAATAACGTGTAAAAGTAAGCAATTTTATATCTTCAATCCGTTATACAATCAGTTTTATAGATCAACTTTCCTAAATTTTGTCTCATATTATTTGTAATGTATTTATCAATGATTTATTTAACAATTTTATGTTCAATAAGTTGTTTCGTAACAAGACATTTATTCAAATCAATATGATACATGACGCATAGATACCACTGTTGTTTACATATCGATAATCAAACTTCATTTTTTAAGAGTTGATTTCTGTATGATAAATGTCAGAATGACAATAAATTTGCAAGAAACGTTTTCTTTAATTATTGAGCAACAATTTATTTTGTTACACTAATCGATATGTATTTTGAATTGAGAATATGGCTATTGTTCATACATGCAAATAACCTTCAATTAGTATTAGTATTTATTCTTCATTTGCGAATTCAATAGTAAAGAAAAAAGATCAATAACAACAAACAAAAATCGAACATTTTTTTTACACACAAAAATTAATGTTAATAAACAAAACGAGTAAAGAAAAGATGAACAGCAAAAATAAGTGAATTATACTATCTAAATTTTATTTACTTTTTTTCTAGAGAAAAAAAAAATCTGACACAGTATTTTATCTGCTCATGGTATATATCCGATTTGGTTTATATAAATAGATGAAATAACATGGCTGGTATTTTGGTTTTATACTATTTTCAAAATAGTACAAAACCAATGTACAAAATGAAACAAAAAGAGTTTTGAACAAATGTTCATACATTAGAAGATTTTTACATAAAAAACAGAGTGTAAGCATCATCGCCTAGCTTGTCATTCTACTGTTCAAGTGATAGTAAATGATAAAACGGTGCGTAACAAAGCATGAAAAACAAAACGTTCGAGAGTAGAGATTGGATAACATGCATGTGGATGAAAAAAAAACGTGTTATGAAAGATGGAAGAGTACAAAAAAAAATTGAATAGAGTTTAGGTGGACAATGGTTGAGCAGTATAATAAAATTACATACGATCACGTTGTAACAGAACATGCGTGTGATAAACAATGTTATACAATTGAATAAAGTGTCAAGATATAATGATGTTACACTTCCGAGGAATCTTCTTAAGATTTTTTAGGATAATACAAAGATAAAAACTTTTTACACTGTTTCGAGACAAATCCAACCAAAATTTCTACATTATTAATGTTCTAGGGTTTTTACTCGATGGAAAAAAACAACAACAGATTAAAGCAAAAGTAGAACAGAGTTGGAGTAGAATAAAAATGAGAAATGCCACTGTTAATGAATGATTAATAATAGATCAACAACAAAAAGAATCAACATAACATAACAATCGAAGAAATATTACAATTGTGTTTCTGATAATCCAGCATATTGTGATTCTGATCGATCAAATTTATAATTTTCAAAACTGTTTGATGGACGTATATCATTCTGATGTTGATGTGGTAATAAAATTGTTGATGTAGTCGATTTTTGTTGTGATGGTATGGTTGTTGTTGTTGGTGATAATATTAATTTGTTATTAGTAGTCGACAATACATTAACGACACCTAATGGTGTTGCGTTATCATTTATAGTCGTATTTTGGTTAGTCGATGATTTTACACGATTATTAGTGTTATTATTCATTTGTTTCTGACGTCTTGGATCGGGATTTTGATTTGGTTTACAAATATCTTCACGATACTCATAGTCTTCTTCATAACCACTCGGAAATATCATTTCATCTTCAAACTCATCGACAACTATGGGCTCTAGAGGAGATGGACGAGAAATCTAAAACAAAAGGATGAAAAAATATTCATTTTTATAACGAGAAGTAATGATGTTGAAGTGCAAATGTCATAAGGACAGTCTTTGCAAGTAGACACTACTCAAAAAGTGTTTAATCAGAGATTGGTTGAGCGTAGACGAGTTATAGTATTCCATGCAGACTACTGGCACAAATGAAAAACTTAGACATCATCAGATAAAATAGTGTACATTAATGTTGTAATGTGTTAATTGTAATTTGTTTTCTACCTGTTCATACAATTGTCTATCAGATCTATAACTATCATATAATCTATCATGTGGATCAGCTTGTTGTTGACCATGATGATAATGTCTTAAACCATCATGATAATGTAATGGTAACGTTGACGATATTGATCCACCGCCAATACTTTTCAAAGGTGTCGATTCTATTGGCAATTCACTGTACATTGGCGGACCCAAATGAGTATGACTATTAATCATATCATAATGATCATATGAATTATTTGTTATAAAACTATTATCATCTTTTTCTTTATAAACTATTCCATCTATACCACTTATACCACCATTTCCATTTGGCTGTCCATTTAATAAACTATTATTATCAAATAATAATGCTTTATTTCTTTCGGCCTGTTGTTTTTTTGAACGATGACAACGTACTAAGACACAAATGCAAATAAATAAAACAATCAATGCAAATATAAATGCTAATAAGACAATTATCCATAATAAAAGTGATGTATTATTAACGATAGATACACGATGTACACGTAATTCATACGATAGATAATCATTATCACTACGTTCTTGATTTTTAATAGCCGCTACACAATTGTATGTACCATTATGTTCAATACCGATATCTGTTATTGTTAACGTTGAAGTTTTGTTTAAACATTGATCTAATTTATTTCGAATACATTGCCATTTAAGAGTATATGGACCAAAATGATGTTCTTCGTTATCCGGTGATGTTATTTTACTAATTACTCGATTTTGATATGTCCACCAAACATCGGGCGCAGGATCAGAATAAACCTAAAAACAGAAAGTAATATGTTAACATATCTAGAATCGACAAAAGAAGATATTCATTTTTGTTTTTTATTCTTACATCACATCTTAATGTTGCTTTTTGACCGGATGATGCTACAAGTAGCGTTAAATTTGGTTTTGTAATAATTGGTCCACATACAAATTGTTCTTCACGTAATGATTGAATTTTTTTACCACTTAATGCTTTTGGCATTTCACATACGGGATCATCACTATAAACAGGATATTCTAAACGATTTAAATTTGTTCTTAACCATCTTAAATGACAATCACATTCCAAAGGATTTCCGCTAAGTTTCAAACGAAAATTATCTGTTAATGTAAAATTATTATTATTATCGTTATTTGATGATGGTGATAATGTACGTAATGAATTATTATTAATATAAAATACTTTTAATTTTGATAAATTTCTTATGATATTAATATCAACATATTCTAATTTATTATAGGATAATTCTAAACGATTTATATTGAGAAAATTTTTCAGATCATTTACATCCAATCGTTTAATTTTGTTGTGTGATAATATCAATATGCTGCAACCAGAAGAAAAAAAACAACAGATAAAATATCGATAATAAGTTGACACTTCTAAGATATGATTTCGTAAAGTTATCCTTTCTGACTACGACAAGATTATTGGAAAAACTGATCTAACCGCGCTCAGATACTATCCAAATTTTATTATTTGAATTCTAATTAAAAATATCATTTAAATCATTCGATGGTATCGTAAATGCATAGTTTCAGATTCAGACGGACGAGAGTAAGATGAGAAAATATTTTTTACTTAAAATAATTTAGAAATGAAGTTGAGATAATAATGAACCTACCTCAATGGCGTGTGTGTTGGTATTGTGATATTTGTTAATGGTATTTGCCTGAAATCATTATATGATAAATCTAATAAATCTAAACTTCTTCCAATTGTTTGAAATGCCTCATTTTCAATTTGATTTAGTTGTCCATTTTTCACATATAAATATCTTAAACTTGACAATTTATATTGATTATTGTTATATGTAAATTCAAACCATTTATCAGTGATTACTCTTAAATGATGTTGTGTAACTGTTAAATTTGTCATTAAATATCCACGTCGATGTTCGGTATGAGTTAATAATGCTAATTGATCATTTATACATTGTTGTAAATGATTAAGACTTTGAATATTTTTACAAACCATACTCGATGACGATTCACTATAGTCACATGAACAACTGATAGTAGAAGCAGTAGTTACAGCAAAACCCATTAACAAAAATAAATATGTTATCCAATTTAAATAAAAATTTTTCATATGAAATGTGATGAATTGACAAGAGTCGATCGATTTTGATTGTAAACTAAACAGAAAATAATGTCTATGTAAATTCGGCCGTCTGAGTGAGATATATAAAGACGAATGAATAATAAAACAAAAAAATACTGAGAAAAAGAGGATATTGTAATAGTTTATGAAGTAAAGAATAGAATCAGGATAAAAAGAGTGCTTCATAAGGCAATTCAAAATGGCTGTCTACTTTTGAGGATTCTCTCTTCATCGTACTTCAATAAACTATACAATAGTGTACAAGTTTTAGTGAAATTGTTATCATGTAGAGTGCGCGCGCAAGAGAGAAAGAGAAAAAAATCACGTATTTCACAACTTTTGTTTACGTATCTGAACGACAAAGGAAATCTCAAAAACATTATCCTTTCTGTTAATTCTTCAGAGAAAGACTGACTGTTATTCGCACGAACTATACAGAGGAACAAAAGAAAAAAGATCCATTTCCTAACTCTCTCTCTTTTCTCTTTTTTTTTTCTCCTATCTCAAAGTCAAGTGCGTCATCATTGACATTTTTTTTAAGATCGTCACATAAGATTATAATGTATTACGTAATTCTATTTCCACAGATGCGAAAGCGACTAATCTACATCTCACACACATACACAAGTTTTACAAAGGATTTGTCTAATGGAATATAGGCGCGGCATGATACTGAAAAATCTTTTTGATAATCTAGGTAAATAGATATGTGGGAAACACACATAACGGCACTCTGCTTTTTTGATCATGAAAGAAAAATAACATTACACATACGAAAATGTAAAATAAAGTGATTAGAATAAGCAAGTTAATCCTCAAACAAACCATCGTTCTTGGATAAGAAATATACAACTACTAATATTATTACTCTAAAGGATCATACCGCCATGATAGACTAGATGTTTTTGAACACTCTATATATAGTATTTTTATTGTCATCATGCCACACACACACCCATACACACACAAACACACGAAAGAAAGGGAAAAATGAAAGTCGTTTTTCTTTCTCCCGTTTTCTATATAGATGACGTCTTATAAAATGTTGTCCAATTAAACATATCAAGTATTTCCTGATGTGATACACTATATTTCCTTCTCCATTTATTTTTAATTTTATTCTCGATTTATGTCACTAGTCATAAGAGAATAAAATTCTATCAATTTCGTTTTATATATCAGGTTAGACGAAAACTAATATTCTCGTTAGAGACCTTTGGATCCAAAAACTATTAAGATGTGAAACAACAAACCACAGCGAACAATTTGACTCCTCATTCATCAGCAAATTTGATTCATCAATCCTATCAAACCAAATTGGCCATGGTTATATTATTCTTTTGTCTAAATCAATAGCTTAATGTGAGAAAAAATTGACACAGGAGTAAAAGTAAAATATTCTAATGTGGCAAGTTTTATATCTTGTTCGAGCATCTATTTTTTGAAAATTGTTGTATGTATATGTCTGTGTGTATGTGTGTAAAAAAACCGTTTATCTGATTTGAATAGTCTAGTTAAAGATGGTATCCATATTCATTTTTTTCAACAATTGAAAATCGACAGGCATCCTTGCGAATTAAACGCGTATATGTCAGTCAACAAATACATTACAACTATGCATGACTAACATGTCTGTCTATCTGTCTATTGAATATTATGGTTTATCAATGAAGCATTACTCAATTTCCGCAAAAAAAGAAACTATAGAGCAACCCTAATCGTTCTATAGTTCAAAAATTTGTATTTATCATCCATGCATCAAATGAATTTCTAGGATTTCTCTTTCTTACCGTTTATATATCGGAAGAAGTTTAAACTTGTAGAGTATTGCAAGATGAAAAATGTAAACTACGGTTTTGGTTACCATACTGAGAAAGAGAGATTAATTACATTGAAGATTTATTCCATTTCCGCTCAACACTATATAACTCATTTGAGCTTGTTCCTAGTATTACTGTTTCTTCATCATTTTCCAAAAAAATACTCAATCTAGCAACCATTTGTCTTTAGAGACACCTCTGACTTATTTCGTTGCTCCCTTTCTATTTCTCTTTTGTCATGCTATTTAATCATCATGAAAGTCAAATGACACTAAGTAACTCATTCACATACGGTATGTTCATAGTCCTAAAAATAGATCGTACTCTCAAGATACCAATTATTCTTGATTACAGCAGTTTTCTGTCATTAACATTAGATCACGTAGACAAATACAAAAATAATCTTACAACATACCTGAACATGATTTATCACTCATTGTCTGCTAGACTTGTTGTAAATATCAGATATGATGGGCAATTTTTATTTAAACTGATCCAAAATTTGATTTGTTCAATATCACGTTTATTGTATTGATGATGACATCATCATAGTTTTTGTTAGTAATATCACTGGCATAAAATATCTATCTATCCCATCAAATTTATAAAACGTTAAACATTTTTTTCACAATATTGTATTATGACCATTGTCCAGAAATAAATTTTTATCCACCACCATATTTTTTTTTTGTTGATGAAATTATCTAGAAAATAAAGATTCGAATAAAGAAGCAAGAATATCTTCTGATCTTTTAGATTTCTCTGACAGAAAGAGAGAGAACACCTATTGTTATTTCTCTCTTCTTTTCCTTCTTCATCATGGCTGTAAAATTAAAGCAGATGTAAAAACACCATTTGTCTTTAATCTACACAAATACTGAATGCCAACTCTCTCTCTCTCTCTCTCTCTCTCTCTGTCTTTCCCTTTCGGTATCTCGTTGTCGTTATTTCTTTTTTTTTTCTTTTTGTCCAGTCATTCTGCTACAATGCGCTACGTTCATTCAAAGAGGAAAAAGGAAATTGTATTGTACCATGAACGCGAGAACGAAAGAAAAAAAGAAAAATCATCCGACGGATTGATGAACTTTTTTTTTTCTTTTTTCTCTTCAACATTTCACAAAATAAAGGAACACAAGTTTTGAATGAGGGAAATATACATTTGGCACAACTGGGCCAAGATTTCGAACAACACCTCAATCTAAGAAGAGAGACATATATAGGAGTGAACTGTTAAATTATTGATATCGTGTTTGCTCTATTGTTGATCTATAAGGCAAGGACCTCTACATAATCAGCGTCAAAATAATGGCGGAAGTTATTAAACTGACATAGAGCCTATGTTCTTATGTTAAAATAAAGCCAATGGTATAGATATAAAGAATATTTAACTATGCAAGAGTTACAATTTCTTTTCAAAGAGACAATCGATACTATCGCGAAATTCTTTTGGACACATTGGTCGAGACACTCAGCTCAGATTGTCAGTTAAAAGTGACATGATACTTTTTTAACGATACTGACCGTACCAGATGATGATCCGAGTATAATTTGATAAATCCAAAACCACTTTCTTTAGTAAACATACTACTACTGTTAACTAGTAGAAGAATTAATTTTCTAAAAAAATAATCTGTTTAATAATCTGTTTGTGCATGATCAAATTGTTGACAAAAACCCATCACGAGAAGAAAAAAACAGATCAAATTCAACATATTTTGATAGAGTGAATAAAAAGTTCAATGAACCAAACAATGAGAGTAATTAAGAGAGTTTTTTTTTACTCTACACGACGACGTATAAATAGATCTCTGCTCAATAAATACCGATTAGATTTCTTTATATTCTTCTCAAACTGTGTGCGTGTATATGAAAATTTTGTCATAAAAAAAATTAATTTGTTTGATACACATCTGAATAAACTCATATTAAGAACATAAAGTTAGTCTCTTTTTTTTTTGCTTTAATATATTCAATCAAATCATCGACTATAGACACGTCTTTTCTTTTTTTTGAAGTCGCTACAAACAGATACAAGATAACTTTTTTTTTAATGTATTTCTCTGAAACAAAGGTCTATATTAATGAATAAAACAAAATTTTTTTCTTCTTCTGTTCCTTCTTTCTAAAGTACCAGAATTAACATTGTATTAGACAAGTCATCTCTAACGCATAATTAAATTACGCAATAGACAGACATAGAGAGAAAGTTATATACAGGGGTAATAATCCAATTCATCAATAAAAGCAAATATTAAAATAATAGATTTTAGTTTGACCAGATAAGAATAAATATTCGAACATTGAAAAATAGAGACAATAATTTCTAAGAGACTAGACCGATTCAATAACGAAAAATCTTTGGTTCTTATTATTTGAATAGTGTCATTCACTCAATAAAATTATTCTCGTAAACTGTTAGCCAAAAAAAGAAAAAATGAATTTTTAGGAGATTATAGCTTTATTACCTCTTTAGAACTAATAATAATAACAGCAGCAGCAGCAGATTTTTAAACAATAATCGTAAAATTACATCAGATAGTTGTCATTTACACATATACGTCTATCGTCTTTCTTCTTCTTAACGTTCAAAGTAAAAAATCAGTCATAATAATGGTACATACACTAATGAAGATCGTTTGTCGAACGAAGTAAAGAACACTTGCAAATGTATATATATATATATATATATGAATGGTAATGTTATTTTTACATTTATGAGTCTGCTGACTGCACACACACACAGTTTAACATCCTATAATGATAATCGAATATATTTTAACAGAATGAACAAAGAAAAACTGCTACTGATAATATATATGGGTATGTGTATATGTATATGCGTAGAGATCAAGATTATCTACTAACACACATCCGTTTATCATTGACTGGTCCGCACAAATAACTAAGAACCTTTAAATAGAATAACATAACAAATGTAATTAATTAAAATGAATTGAAATCATATGAACTCTCCTTCTTTTTTTCTTTTGTCTGTTACATTTTGAACATCAAAACAGTCTATAAAAATCTAAATCTTGCATATATATATATATATATATTGATTTAAAAGTGTCTTTCTCTCTTCGTTTTGACCGACACATATATATTTTATAGACATTGGCGTTGCGTGTGCAGTGATCAAAATTATTCTGAGATCAAATTGTCTAGAAAAATGAACAATAAATAATAATAACAATATTTCTTTTTTTTTCCTTTTTCTTCTGATTTCAATCTCCCTTTTCAATATTGAAACAACAAAAGAAAAAAATTTAAGTTTAACATGACACTCAACATGCACACGAAAGAAAGAGGTACAAAAATATCCCCGGCAGTAGGTCACTTAACGAAAGTGTATCCTCTGTTTTTGTGACGATGGTGACAAGAACGTCAGGTAAAAGAGTCTTTGTACTTTTTACTAATAAAAAGTCGAGTTTTTGTACAAAAAATTAGTTATATATAAAAATAACATCATCTAAATAAACACCTATTGTAATAGATATAAGCTTTGTTTCAGTTCAAGTGAACAATTGCCCACAGAATGCTTATTTACCAAAAACTAAATTGTTAAGACTATGAGTAGAGTTCAATCGCTGAGGAAAAGACTTTCTTCAAGACAAATAACGTTTTTTGCACTCAATGATCTGCAAAACAAAACTTCATACATAACTATCATACTCATAAGCAAAACCAGTGTGCATTACTAAAACGTTAACTGTCAAAAAATCCATCATCAAAGAAACAGAATGAGAAACCATTTCTCTCTCTCTCTCTCTCTCTCTCTCTCTCTCTCTCTCTCTCTCTCTCTCTCTCTCTCTTTATTTTCTT